CAGGGGAAGGAGGTTTTTGTCACATGATGTATCACTGTGGTTGCTATATTGCACAGTGATATAACTCCACACAAAAACTCCACCCTGCACACTGGCTGTCTTGACAAACTAATTTGCCGTAGTGTTTTTCATATCAGTTAATAAGTAAAATGAAGGTTTAATCATGGGAAAGGAATCTGCAGTGCAAAAGTTAATAGAATAGTGATACAATAAAAGAAATGCATATAAATATTGTTATTGATCTACATTGTGCAGTAAAATAATGGACATATAATGTCTCCCGAAATTTGAATGAGAAATATCTCCTGAAGCATAAAACAAGACTGTAGGCTCTGACAGGATGATGCATTATTCCCAGTATATGTTTTCAGGCATATCATCCGAAGTTTGGGTGATCCAACACAATAAGTTGTCATCTTTAGTTCAGCACTGTGTGTCTTAGTATAGAACCGCAATTTAAAAATATGTGTTAAAAAATGATCATCAAATTAACTGTAAGTAGTCAGTGTTTCAGTATGTGAAATATATTATGAGGCTAAAACTGAAAGAAAATTCAAATGAAGGCCATTTATCCTTCCACCAGTCCATTGATGCCTTTCTTCAGAGTCTAGTCATTGTGGAAATGATCTGATCTTCTCTTTTTCCTGAGACACAGTGACTTTGTGCCTCAGTTCAGTTCAGACCAGGTTTTTATATTACCATATATCACTGTGGTTCCCCCAAGAAACACAATCCTTTGTGTAAATTTGCATTATTGTCAGTCTATAAACATTTTTGTTTTTCCTAGCAAGAGTTTATCTTCTGACTTGTTTATCAGCACCATGCAAAGCTTCTCCTTCTTAGCCGAATGAGGTTTTTGTCACATGATGTATCACTGTGGCTGCCATAGCTGCTATAATGCACTGTGATATAACGCCATACAAAAACTCCAACCAGGACGCCGGCTGCTACTGTACTTTGAATATAGTGTTTTTCATATTAGTTTAACAAGTATTACTAATGTTTACTAATTTAAAAGGAATCTCCGGTGCAAAAGTTCCCAGAGGATGTTTTTTAATTATTTACTTGTTTATTTGATCATGTTGTACAAAAAGTCCAACGCAATGATGATAATGATATAGCCTAATAATACATGTAAGATAATGGGTTGAGTCAACCTTTTCCAGATTGTTTTCTATTGTTACAGGATAAAACCAAAAACAAAGAAAAAATTTGAATTTCTTTACCCTCCATTGGTAAAGAAATTCCAGAAATTCCTTAGTCCATTGATTATACTTTTTCTTCAGGGTTGACTTATTTTTGGGTAATTATCTTTTTTTCTTTTTTTTAAGCTCAGTGACTTTGGGCTTCAGTACAGGACAGGTTTTTGTATTACTACATATCACTGTGGCTCCCATCCCATACACAGTGCCACATGCTCATACAAAAACCTGATGTAGTGCAGTTTTAGCTTTCTATATTGAAACATACTACTTCTAAGCCCCTGTTGCCTGATACATCCATTTGTGTAAGACCACATTATTGTCGATATTTCTACATCTCTGCTTTTCATTAGAAAGTTTTGTTGGACGATTGTGTCACCTACTTGTTTTCCGTATGAACACTACATCTCCTTCTCAGTGGAAGGAGATTTTTGTCACATGATTTATCAATGTGGCCGTTATACTGCACTGTGAAAACTCCACCCTGCACACTGGCTGTCAGGGCACACAAATGCCAAGAGAGTTTTTAAAAATAAATCATTTAGTAATGTTAAGATCTAATCATGTGGAAGGAATCAGCTCTGCAAATCTTTCCTGATGATAGATTTAAATATGTATATTTTTAGGAGTGGTAGTTCTACAGGAATAAAACAAGTACATTTATTCAGTTACATTGTGTGGTAAGACTGCAAAAATGGACAAATGACATCCATGTCATTTGAATGAGAAACAAAAGCACTGTAGCATAAAACAAAGAAAAAGGGCTCCGACATGATGATATTTCATACCTAATATATTTTTTGTAGGTTGGGTGCGAGTACTGTATGAGTGATATGCAAACACTGGCCAGTCATTTATTAAGTCTTGAAAGTTCTGCACATCGAGAATTTCAGTTGCTTTGGCTCACTGTATTTTAAAGAAGCCACAGCTTCCTATGAGTGTTCACATGCAGCTTTCATTTACAGTATACAGACCTTTGCATCTCCTTAGAGGTTTTTGTAACAGTGTGAATCACTGTGGGTACCCAGATACACAATGAAACATCACAAGGCAAAAACCTGTGCCACAGTGTAGCTGTCATACCCTTCTCTGAAATACACAATACAACAGCTGTTTTTAAAATTGAATATTCAAGTAAAACAGCATTTGTGGGATTATAATGACCATTGTACTTGTTTTCTGTTATTATAAAATAGCTTTGTTCAATGGCAGGACTAATTAGATTGATTTTTTTATACATGTGCCAATGATGAAAGTCTTTCAGTAACGTGTGTGTGTGTGTGCGCTTCTTTGGAGTATCAGCAAAGACATTGTACGGTATTTATGGGGTTTTGTAATATTTTGTACGTTTGATGGCAGCCCACCTTTTTACTGTACTGATACTTTTCAATGACAACTAAAATTACAAAGGAAATATTTAACTTAATTTTCATGGCTTTTAGTTAAAATATTCATGCACATGTACATTTAATCTGGTCCCAGAATGTGAATGTGTAAAAACTGTTTAAAATGTTTTCATTAAACTACCGAACAATTTGAAGAGATGGGGAAAATAATATTTCATTATAAATATATAAAATCCTACGTGCATAAATACATGCGGGGGACAGAATATTGGAAACACTTCTCAGTGTAATGAAGTACAGCACCACGAATATTGCTTCGTAAACTACCACAGAGTTGAATCAGCAGTGTCTCAGGGTCAACAAACCTTTAACGTCATATTGCAGTTGTGTTGACTTGAATTTGATTATATAACTGTGACTCAGTTTGGTAAATGGAGGGCTGGGGTTAAGAAGACAGACGAGTCTCTGGTTTTTGTTACGGTGTGTCACACTGTGCCATAACTCCAGCTACCAGTCACCACAGTGACTCAAGCACTTACCAAAATCTTACCACACCTGCAAGAGGCCGCATGTTGTTTTTTTACTTTGTCAGGAAAACAGAAAGTTTCCCACTGAATAGGTTTAGAGAAAGAGAGATTGTTTTACAAATAGAAGCGATCAATACTTTGTATGTTTGTTTTTTTTTTGCACAAATACACCCTCTTTAGTACTTATATTTATCGTAATTTAATAGAAGCACATTGAGTGGAAGGGTTATGTGTTCCAAATCACCACCTTTCCATGTCCTTACAGAATCTCTCCACAAGATGGCAGTCTTCACTCACTTTTCTGACTTCTGTTAACCAGCTGGCTGGACACCGATGATGTCCCTCCAGCACATCAACAAGCTGACACTTTGAAATGTTTTACGACTATTGAAAGTGTTCAGCTGGTAGCGATGACTCAAGTAGTGAGTCTGAGGAACAGATAGTACACATGTTGAATTATTAACTGACAAATAACCTAATGCATAACTATGACGAATTAATACATAGAAGAAGTTGCAGTTCAAGCTGTGCAACATGTTGGTATGTTATCAATGAATGTTTACAACGGCACAAAAAATAATACTTAAAAACAGATGTTAAAATGGCTGATCTGAGCAGGAAAAAAATATAAAATTTATAATGGAATATATATGTTTCGTGAACGAATAAAGATGATACAGTTAATGTGCTTAAATGCCACATTTTTTCAATGTGCAGTTCGTCTAAATGTTGTTACCACCCTTACACGCAACAGCTTGTTTTCATGCATTGCTCTGCTTGTATCTGCGTTCCGGTAAAGTGCACCCACAATTTTGAGCGTTCAATCCCGTCTTTGGTAACCGCCTGAAATGGGTAACAAATCAGGGACCAGCAAGAAACACACAGAAATAATGATTCACAGTCACCTATGTGAAAATGAATTAGAGGGAAACACACACTAGCAGCACCGTCATCCATATTCTGGTTAGCTTGATCTGCTGAGGATGCTGTCAATGCTCCTGGTGACGATTTTGAGGAGATTTACCATCAGGAATCATGTTTTAACTGCCATGTAAGTTATTGGTAGACTCTGCATCTTCTCATAATACCCTAGTCAGTCAAGCTGTGGCAATGAGAGACGCTCTCAATACAGAACTAAAAGCAAGTTACAAGGCCACACTCATCACACACGATCTCAAGCTTCCAGCTCCTTTTGCTGTGTGCTGCCATGATGTTCTAGATACCAAAGAGAACACTATGAAATGATCCATCTCTATATCAAACATGAACTTACAACTCTGCACTACGCAGCCAAACAAGCAACGTAATACAGAAATATACTGTATCTGCTAATTAATACCCTGCAGGTCCTGCATTTACTTTTATGTTGTTTATAAAATTCTGTATTTGATATCTCTGTCAATTTATCCTTCTACTTCATGGTATTTCACAGATTCTTCGCGTTGCCTTTGTCTGTGGTGTGTCTGCAGTATGAATGTCAGCCACTTCATGCCAGGATATATGCTGGTATGCAAATATGTGCAGTGAAAGATGGGTGTCTTGTTTCGAGGAAGTTTATTTGTAGCTCTGACCGTTTCCACAAAGTTTCACAACTACAGGTGTGGTCCCTGAGGTGCAGAAAGAGGGGGGGGGAGTAACTCTCTAAAGATGATATGTTTAGAAATGCCAGGAAACGGATCGACCTTCAGAGCTTAACTGATAACAGACGTGTCTGGTATGCTGACTTGATGTGGTGTTATTTTGTTAAATGCTCTTACATTAGCTCAGTGTTTCGACAAAATCCTCAAAAGCCTTTCATGTTTATCACGAGCACACTATCGCTCATATTCATGCTCTCTTTAATATATTTAATTATGTGGCTGTCCGTATTATATCTATTGAATTAAAGATGAAAGCAAATGTGATCAACACAATGAACAAACATGAAAAGTTTAGATATATATTCAAACAAAGAAAATGCATAATACAGAATATATTTATCTCAACTACAGTGCAATTTGATATTTATGTGTCAATGAAAGTTAATAATGCTTTACCAACACATTTTATTGACACTAAAAGTCTTCAAGAAAAGTAATCAATAGCTGTTCTATTCTTAATGCAACTACAGTAGCAAATGAAAATCTATTCATCTAAATGACTAGGAATTATATTTGTACCATCATTTTTCTATAGGTTACAGAGAAATCCATTGTCAGTGACTTAGTTAATCAATATATATGACAATCATTTAATTTAGCACTCATGTAAATGTTTTTTAAACTAGATATAAAAGTCAGAAAACAAATGAAGACCTGTCGTCCATGCTTTGCATCCATCTCATCTTATGGTTTCTTCATCTGGAAAAAACAAACAATAAAAAATTATATATATAATATTATATTGACTGCTCAAATACAGATTATTAAACAGTGGTAAAGTGTGATTGATACTTCAATCTAGAGATTCACCCAGCTGGAGAATGGACACTGAACTGATCTCTTTGTCTTCACTACTGTAGAGCTTTAGCCATCAAATGTTCTGCAGGGCAAGTCTGCTCTGTAACAATTATAATATCTGCACCTAAAGATGGCATCTGTGTGGTATGATGCGGCTTAGAAAGATTTTCTGTGGCTGGTGAGGCTCTTCACTCTGCTGCTGCTAGATGTTGATCAGGCACTGATGCTGGTTGGACACGCAAATAAACTTTTACACCACTTTACGATGTAATTGTGTCTATCAAAATCCACACAACAAACCTGTAATGTCACAGGTTTGTTATTGCCAGATAGAGCAATTCACCAGTCAGAAAGAATGATTTGGTGTCCATTAACAAATCAGATATTGCTGATGATCAATTACATTTATATTGTTTTGTCTCTTTTGTCTAATTTCATTAAGCCTAATGGATGCAATCATTTTCATTACAATGGTCTCCCTTTTCAGGATCATGTGCACTTTAATAACTTTAACATTAAAATCTACAAGCTATCACACCCACAGATAAACTATTCAAAGGTCCAAATGTTCTTGCCTTTATGTGTAGCCTATTTTATTATTTCCATGCCCGGGCTTTATTTTATAACTTGTAACATACTTGGTTAAACTCATTTTCAGTGAATGTATGAATCCTGTATTACATCTTAATCAGTCTTAAGTCCTTAGTGCAGCTGAAAGCCTGCATGTTTACCTTGACCAGGCTGAATATCATGCTATAAAGGAGAGAGGATATGAAGAGGAATATGAAGGAGGAGGTTGTGGACCACAGGCTGCTGTACTCATCCTCCTCAATGCCATCATCTGTGCAGCTCGTAGCAAGACGCAGATTTAAAACTGGAATAGAACGTAAGAGGAAGGTATAGGCGGGTTAGATGTGTGTGTCTGTGTGTATGTTAACGTCTTATTAAGATAACGCGATGCCCTTTTCTCTCTTGAATAGTGCACATCAACTGGAATCAAGCATTATTATCATATGGTGTGTGGACGTTAATCCATTTGAACAGTGGAACAGTGCATACTAGGTATCACTGAAAACTCATACGTTTGTTTTAAAATATTGAAGTCATGCGTGAACATGTAACAAAAGTTTCTTCATGCAACATTTATTTGAAACAGTCAGCACACTTATCACATTGTTAGACAGTACGACAAAGACAGATTAAAACACAATATGATGACAAACACAAGTAAATCGTCATATTGACTGTTATTTTTACAATCACAAAGACAGGTTTCTGTGACAGAGAGTACACACAGACATAACGGCACATGAGCACAAAATGCCACATTTAAAGCTGAATCTATTATTTCTCACATTCAGTCGAGTTACTGAGGCCCTTAGACACGGTTCTGGATGTCAACCTTTTGCTGCCAGCAGCCCAGACGTTGCAGGAGAACATGTTGTTCTTGTTCCACTTTTCCTTGGTGGTGGTGTAAATACTTGTAACTGAGAAGCCGATTTTGGTACTCTGAGGGAGGAAGTTGATGCCATCATTATAGATGCTGGCGTTGAGTCCGTTATATTCTAACCAGCCGATGAAGTAGTCCTGCTGCACAGAACTAGACACCAGACACACTATCGTGACATCAGCTGAGCCTCCTTTGCTGATGTCTTCCTCTGGGAGGATGTAGACAGTTACTTTTGGCTCAATCGTATCTGAAAGAGAGGTTCATATTTAAGCTTTGCTTTTGCTGTACTTAGATAATGATAGCATTGTGTGTGTGGTCTCCAAGACTTACAGATTACTCTCTACTACTCTACTACTCAGTCTCCATCACTTAATTACATACCTGATTTGTGGATAGTCAGATCTTGAGTAACACTATTGGCAGAACAGCGCACCTTGTTGAATCTCAGCCACTCAGTGCGAGTACGAGTCAACGTGCTGGTTTTGTTTCCGGAGTTTGGTCTTACAGAGATGTTGTTGGTCACAGTTTGTCCATCAATTTGCCAAGTGATCTCGTCCTGTCCAGTAATTGTACACTCCACCTTTGCCTGGTTGTTGTTGAAAATGTCGTAGGCACTTGGTGGTGTCAGTGTCATTGTGATATGAGAAGAGGCCTCTAAGCATGTGGAGGAAGGAGCAGAAATAGAGATCAGTCTGTAATAATTCATTTCAAATATGAATGTAAAATACCAGACAGATTAGATCAAACATGACAAATGGATATTATTACAGAACAGTTTCTGAATAAAATAAGATTGACAAGATAACTCATAGAAATACAGTAAGGGAACCATACCTTTTACCAATGTGACTTTTTTGGTGCTTCCTTCGTGAATCACAGAACAATGAAAAGGCCTCTTTGAATTCCATTCAGAATTTGGTACTTTGAGCAAACTGACTTTTGTATATTTGTTCTTTATCTCAGTTGGAGGATATTGCGCAGAAGTCAGGATGGTCCCACTGGCATCGGTCCACTGGAAAGTAAGAGTCTTTGGGTAGAAGTCGTGTGCAAGACAACCAACAGTGATTGTCTGTGCACCTGCAGATTCACACTTAACCAAAGGGAACAGAGTTGGTGCTGCAGCTGTTTCTGTGAAAGTGTCAAAACATACAAATACCAATATAAGTCAAATAAATATACACGGATAATCATTTGCGTGTCTAAAAGTGAATCTATAAAATATTGCACATTATTGTATAAAGAAGCTGAAGACAGATAAATCTGTCCAATGGGTATTTTAATGAATAATACTTCTGGATAAAGAATGTCCAATTGAGTATTTTTGCATATCTGTTCAGCACACAGATGTAAACATACTGGATCTGAGTTTGTACAATATGTACTTGTATGTATTACTGCACTGTTTTGTGATATATTTAATCAATTTAAAACATTTGTTGCCATGTCTTGCATTGGTCCGATACTCTTTGGGTAGAAGCTCTTCGCAACCCAACCATTTATCTTTAGTCCCAGAGTTACACCAGACAAAGGGGACAGAGTCGGCGAGACCCAAAGTGTTAAAGTGGTGTTAAAAGATGATATGAAATTTATAATCATACAAATAACTAAATATATAAAATAACCACGGAGCTCTATGAAATATTATGTCATATTTTTATATTATTCAATTATTGCAACCTATTCTCATAAGGACCTATTCATTTATTTAATACTGAACACTTTGGGTATATTGTTGGAAATGCTTTTGGTTATCATTATAACCATGTAAAGACTGTAACTACCAAATCAGAAGATTATCAGTAAATAATCAAAATGCAGCTTATTGTTGATGGATTTGAGCATTTCACAAACTATTTTGAAGGAACAAAGTCAGGTTTATCTTATAGCTATATGTGTGTGTATATATATATATATATATATATACCATATTCCTATTTCAAAAATGTAAAACAGTATAATTAATAGTACAAAATGGTAATAGAAAATAAATTGGATAATAATGTGAATACAATGAGGCAAACATTCACCAGCCGCAATTACAATCCATCTGAATAAATTCTAAGATCAGCTCAAACCCTCACTTGCATTCAGAGAATAACTTTTAAAAATGCTTTCTAAGAAACGGCTGCGTTAGAAACATCTGCCTGCTCTCTAGTTTGTCCAACATCAATGTAAACCTGAATAAGACCATGAATTAAACTCCTCTACTACCAATAACCAATAAAAATAAATATAAATAATCTTTGCAATGAAAATATAATGTTTAAATGTGACTTACTTGACGATACTTTGACTTCAGTCCCCTTTCCCCAGTAGTCAAAAGCATCACAGTGTTACATCTCAACTCACTGCTTGAACAAAAACCTGACGTACCAGAAAAATGCATTAAAACCTCATTAAGTGCCTGAAATACACAGAAATCCTGGTCAGAATAATGCCATGATAGAATCCTGAGAGTTTTTATTTTTTCGCTGATTCTCTTTCAGTTGTAAAAGTTATTTTACTGGAAGATGACATTTACGTCTGTGAACAAACTGTGACTTTAATCTACTTATTAACTAACTTTTAATTACTAATCTCCTTATTAAAGTGATAAACACTTGATATTCCAATGAGAACTAGTCTGTCCTGTTCATTAATCATCATGAGAATGGGAGAGTGTGAAGTTTTTGCTCTCAGGTTTTTGTATGGATCTATATCTCAGTGTCCCCCAGCCATCACTGTGATAAACCCTACGACAAAAACAAAAACCACAGTTTCCTGCACTGGAGAGGAGACCTATGGTCAGCAGCGGGTAAGAATACAACAAAACTTATATTCTAATCAGCAAAACTATATTGAAGGATGTAAGATTCCTAATTTGCATTTTGCATTTTACAAATGTTTTAATCAGTTTGTTATTGTTTTTAATCCAATTTTGTTTGTCAGTTTACCATGACATGGTTTACGTATGTATTTCAATCTGACAAATTTAAATTAACAAAGACTCAAAGGACATTTGTTCAACAAAAACACTTTTTACAGTGTATATTGATACACCAACCCACTAAATGGGGGTGAAAAATCCTATATTCAGATTATGTTGTTGGAGAAACCTGTAGCATGATAATTTGCTGTAATAGTTTGGAAATGCTATTTTGGTTAAAAAAAACAATTTTCTTTTCAAAATACTTAATATGTTTTGTAAGATATTTGAGAAATAATAGGAGCTGTTACACTTACAGCTTGGACTTTGAACTAAACACATTCTAATATTCACGCAGATATATTGTGCTTCACTCAACATGTAAGTAATAGTAAGAAATAAACATCAATCATTTCAATTAATATATTTGTTGCAAACAAATTATTTAATGTTTGAAGGTATTTATTTTTTTTTTTTAAATCACCAAAACTATAAAGTTTAAACATGTTTATTTTTTTATAAAATATCAAGCTGGAATGGAAGGATGATGACTATGTTTTTGCAGATTGCAAACATTTTTTAATTTGAGTATAAAATGTGTAAAATGTGTCTCTTTTGTAGTTCTGACAGTTTCTAGAAAGTTTCCGGTGGTCCCAGAGGTGCAGCGAGTGGGAAAGTGTCTGGCTAAAGATGAGATGTTTAGAATTACCAGGAAACTGAAGAAATGTTTGTTGGCCTCCAACAACAATATCTTCAGAAGCTTTTCTGTTTAACACGAGCACACAATAATGTCCACGTGGCGAAGGGATGTGTATGTATATCGATTGAAGCAAATACAGTCAACAAAATGATTAAACATGAAACAAAACTAAAAACTAAATAATCATATTTTTTATCCATGACATTTAAATTCACGAAAAGGTTTATTGTTTGTTGTAATAACACGTGATTGACATTAAATTGTGATTATTATCTCATGAATTTACAAGTTAGTCAGTAGCATTTACTTACTGCTTAAAATCAAATCCATTTTTTTATCATTCCATATGTACAGCAGATTATTGCAAACATTTTTAAGCTAAACGGATGAGACCAAAAGAAAGATGTGTTGTCGGTTGACGAGGCAATAAAGGACGAGATGGACTATCTATCTCGTCCTTTATTGCCTAAACTGCAGTTCACTGTGTAACGCTTAATCTTGACTATATTTGTGAATTGCTTTGCCTCCGGAAGTGAACGTTTTTATTCGGCCTTTCACTAGCATAGAATGGAAGTGAATGGGAGACGAATATTCGGCAACGTTATTTGTTACTCAAGCACTACAGCTGCGCACAAAGGTGACATGAGGGTTTAGTGCTTAGGCCTTTAGGATGGAGGTCGGGATTTGGCCTTAAAGTTAGATGGCGCCGCCCGTCTCTACTTGCAGACAACCTGCAGAGAAATAAAAACACAAGGAGGGTCAGAGGCCGTCACGATGTCTCTATGACCTCAAGTTATTTTCAGCGAGACAGGTAGCTGCCTATTATGTGCCGACAATTAACTTTGAATTCATCTAAATTTAATTAGTCCATCCTTTCATTTCCCCCCCTGTTCTTCCTTTTTTTTCCCATGTTAAGTGTTTTTTGGGATGTTTTTCTTGTTCCGATGCGAGGGTCCTGGGACAGACGATGTCGTATGCTCTACAGAATGTAAAGCCCTCTGAGGCTGATTTGTGATCTGTTGCTATACAAATAAATTGAATTAACTTGAATTCTATAGAAGGCAGATATACAGTTGCATTATGTGAACAGTTGTAAAATTACTGTTGTACATTTCACCTCAAAACCCAATTTTGAATGTGTTGTTGTGCACTTTCATCACTTTGTTTGTGGTCACTTGTCATTATCATCTCTCATAGACAATATTGTAAGACTGAAATCCTGTGATAATCAAATATGACCACTAGTTGGCGCTGTTTACAAGGTTTGATGTGATGGGGATAAGGTGACAGGAGAAGTGTAAGC